TTGGAGACACTGGGGAGAGGAGGAAGAAGAAGTCAGTACCTCTTGAGTTCTTTCTCCTCCCTCACAGGGTTGCTAGTTGAAAAAAGTCAAGGATTCCCCTGCCCCTATAGGAAGGTGTTACTGCTGCTACTGGCCTTGTTGGGACATACCTGGGATGACAGGTCTCCCAAGTGAGTAGGGGCCAAGTGAACACCACATCTCAGAAACCTGATCAGCCAAGGGGGACAGGTGGAAGAACTGAACTTCAGCCTTCAGGATGCAGAAAGAAGGAGCAGGAAGACCACAGTCTGGGGAAAAATGGAAACCAAAGCCAAGAAGACCAGAGAGAAGGGAAAAATAAGTCCTTGCTATGAGTTAGAATTTAGGAAGATGGAATAAGAGGAAGAAGTTCCAAGAGAGCAAGAGAGCATCCAAGAGATTTCCCAAAGCCACAGGCTTCCTCCAAGAGGGCATTGCCTGCATAGCTGGAGAGCCCTTACTACACACACACACACACACACACACACACACACACACACATTGAAGAAGAAAGCTGTCCTCAAACAACTGTGTTTTATGGGAAATGAGATAAGAAAATTTGAGACTCAATCAATAGTAACAGACATCCCTTTTTTAATGAGTATCTACTACCACCAGGCACTGTACACAGATCTTAAATCCTCATAAAGTGTCATAATCAAATCTCTCCTTCACTGTGCAGATAAGGAAACTGAAGCCTAGGTTTAGTAAGATCACTCAGTAGGTGGGAGAGCATGAGTTCACACCGAGCCTATTCTCTTTCCCACTTGGCCAAACGTCCAGGCAATAAAAAAAAAAAAAAAAAAAMCCAGTAGTCTTGAACCTGTGTAGCTATTAGAGGTTTGTTCTGGAAGATGGAAGGAGGCTAGAGTGTTCCCGAGGAGGAGCCCAGGCTCTCAGCTGGGCTGGGAACATTGTGTGACACATTCAGAAGTCAGCCTCTGCTCCTTTGCTCTGTGTTGGTCAATAAATCTGTGTGCAACTTCAGAGGCTTGTTCTAGTAAGTCCAGACCCCTTTTGATGTATCTGGGTTTAATTATCTGCATTTCTGTCCTTCAACTCAGTAACCTGGGCCCTGGGTTATATAACCTTGGCCAGAACAAGGCGATATTCCCCCATTATAGGAGGAAAAAGCACCAGGACCAGGAAGACAGGGCCTGGACTCACCTTCTAGATCAGCTGTCCCTTAGCCATGAGGCCCTGGGCAAGTTCCCCACCTCTCTGAGTCTCATACATCTTAACTGACCCCATGGGGACAAGATCTTCAACCTCCTTGGAGGCTTCACAAGATCCTGCCTGTAAAGTGCCTAGTGCAGCCCTGAGAGATGAGGTGGATTCCTTCCCCTTGCACCTTCGCAGTTAAGGATGAGCTCTAGATTTTTCAGGATCTCTTCCAGTGGCTGATAAAGGACTCAGAAGGTGAGGTTTGGGAGAGAATTGTATACTGGGTTCTTTAGCAGGTATTTGTTTCTTAAGCATCAGATTTAAGAAGGGGGGAAAAAAAAACCCAATTCTGTGACAGGCCCACTGTATACTTAAGAAAGAGTCAGGATATGCTCTTCAAGCCTCAAAGGAAAGAAATAACAGGTAGACGGTGGGAAGACACACACACACACACACACACACACACACACACTCACAGTCAGGAGTTCCGAGTAAAATGAGTCAAGGTCAGAGAGGGAGAACTTTCTCCTCCATGTCTCCTCCCCCTCCTCTTCCTTCGTTACCAGCCCTTCTTCCACCAGTGACACTGACAGTATTTCTTTTTGGCAGACATAGCTCTTTATGCCAGCAAATCTTCTTTCCCCAGCATCTAATCACTCAAGCAAGATGCCTGGCCACATACCATCATGGTGGAGGGCCCAGGCTTTGGGATAGGATGTCTTGAGTTGAACTCGAGTTCCACAACGAGCTACAAGGCCATAGGTATATTATTGAACCTTACTAAGCTTCAGACTTCTTCACCTGGGTCATGAGGTTTGTTGATCACTTCTACTTTATAGGATTAACATTCAGAGTGAAAGGGAAAATGTAAGTTAAGGTTTCACCTCAGTACCTGCTACATAATGAGTATTCAACATGTTTACATCGTTGTTGATATTTTAGTTTCTTCTGAGACCAGGTAGCCTGGATTGGAAGCCTGAATCTGCTGCTTAGGAGCAGTGTGAATTTAGATGAGTTACTTAACYTCTCTATGCCAACTTCCTCCTTAGGGTTGGCTGATCTGTACTACCAGCATTCCAGGAGGGGACCTTTTTCATTTTATTTCATTCTCAAAACTTCTATAGAGTTGTTGGTAGAACTAAAGGAAATATAATTTAGACTATAATATTCTTTATTATGTATATTTCTTARGCCATTGCCTGGAATATAAAAAGCACTATATAAATATTTACTATTATTGTTGTTTTCATTCATCCAGATAAGGTACTCAAACATGGTGAATTCAACACCTGCTAAATGCCAGGCAACAAACAAACCAAATTGCTCCTATACTCATAAGCTTTCACTCAAGTGAGAAACAGATGATAAACAATATAGGAAGCTAGGAAAACAGGAAAGGGGTGTAGGTTTTACTGAAGGTGGAAATGGGACGGGGTGGTTTTGCTCAAATAGCACAACTCTTGACTGAATGCCTGCAGGAGCAGGGTACAAGCTGGGCAGGGGTTTGGGAAGCACATCTAAAAGATGGCCAATGCTGGAATTGCTGTCATCCCTCCGTCTCCATGTGAGTTTCCATCTAAAGTCTCCTTGGAAAGCGTGGGTCCTCTGCCAACAAACTTCCACCTTCTTAGTAGCCTAGGAAGCTCATGAAAAAAAATTAAATTTCTACCTCAGTTTGCAAATGTGCAAKTCCTACAATAAGAACAGGTCCAGGACCCTGGAGGAACACAAAGTAGATGGGAATGGTTGTCACRGTGAGCCTGGGAAAGCAGTAGGGGACTGTTAGAAGTGGAATGGAGGTACCATCTTAATAACTCTTAATGATTTTAAATTATTCTATAGGGTAGATAGTCAGGGGTCACGGTCCACATTACAAGTAAGGTCCCAAGAAATATATTGGCTTGTCCCAGGCAGTTCATGGTAAGACCACTAAGTGGCTCTGGGTTGGCCTTGCCTGCACTACACCTCACAGCCTCCTACTCTGCTGAGGTTGTCCTTAACCTCACTGGATGCCCTCAGGGACACTCTGAGTCTGCAGCTGGTATCTGCATTTTATAGGAGAGGACGCTGAGACTTGGAGACGTTAAGATCTGTGTTCCAAGTCACAGGGCTCTAAACCAGGTCTGCTGACCTGGGAGGCCTGGCTCTCTCCACTACAGCATGCACTGTGAGAGCGCGTTCTCAGGCAGGAATGAAGAAAGGTTGTTTCAACCAGCCGGTTAYAGTATTGTCACTGCCCAGGAAGACACATGTAAAGGACTTAGCCCCTTAGCACTGAGCTTGATGCTCACTAGATGTAAGTTTTATGTTCTCCTTATTATTAAAGATGGGTATTTGCTCTGAGTCATCTGTGGACTGTCCACCTAGAAGTGGACACTCTGCCCAGGGTGCACCATGCCTGTGTGCAGTATTTGTTCAGGTATGTCACCGTGACAATCATCCCTTGGTCAGAAAGGTACTCTCCCCAGCCCAACACATAGTCCCTTGGAGAATGGATTAGGATCAGAGAAGACATAGCTAGGCTGGGAACAGTAAGAAAGAAGGACCAGAGAAAGACAAAATCAGAGCGACAGAGGGAAGACAGACAAAATAAGAGACTCAGAAATGGAGGGATGTGGAGGAGCAGTCAGTGGTCACAGGCCCTCTGAGGGTCCCATCTTCTTGATCATTACGTGGAAGAAAGGGTGGAATGAAGAGCTTTGAGACCCAGTGCTCTGGTGGATGTGGTGGATGTGGTTTGAGGATACCTCTCATGGTTTCATGGGTTTGAGGTCCTCAGTATGGCAGTGTGAAAGGAGGTGAGACCTTTAAAAGRTGGGGCCTAGTGAAAGTCTTCAGTCATTGAAGGCTCTACCCTCAGAATGAATGAAGGTGGTTCTCATGGAAACTGAGTTAGTTTTCGAGAGAGCAAGTTGTTTAGAGTAAGCCCAACCCCTGAAGCACTCTCTGGCTTCCTGTCTGAAGATGCCATGTCCTCTCCCACCACAGGCTCCGGCCATCTTGATCTGTCATGAAGTACTCCCCAGAGCAGAGCCAACGCCAGTTCYGTGCCCCTGAGCCTACAGAGTCCTCAAACCTACAGAACCAGGGGCTAAATAAACCTTTTCTTTACAAAACTTACCCAGCCTCAGGTATTTTCTTACAGAAAAAAAAATTGAAGTCCGATACCCAGTTTTGAATACGTTTCTGTACTAACTTGTTTTGAGCGCTGGGTAAATTCTTATTCCCCCAAGACCTCAGCTTCCCCGTCTTTTATGTTCTTCTTCCAGATCTCTTTTGATTTCTCATGTCTCATTTATGGTTCCTTGACAGACTGTCCCTGAATCAGAAGACATTTGCACTTATTGGTAAAGCATGGAGTTTATTCAGAAATGTCAGTCGGTACAATATGTACTACGAGACCCTTCGGCTCAACATCACAGACATGGGATACACAACTTCACAATAAATTAGTGGGGAGCCAACCCTCTCCTTCCAGGATGGCTGTTGGGACCTTTCAATAGACATATTTCATTATAAATACCAGGGTAGACTATTTGGCTACTTTCAAGTGGGATTAGACAGCCTGAGACTAGCCAGTGGGACTTCCAGCTATAGGGTGAGATCTGCTTGAACCCAGGTTTTCCCTGCAAGGCCCCAGCCCCAGGGGAGAATCCCACATCAGGAGGGAGGTCCATTGAAAGGACCCTCATTTGGATAAACATGGGTGCCCTCCCCATCTCACTCCCCTTCAAAGTCGGCTGTGTCCCACACAAGAGTCTCCTCTGTGTCCCACAAGAGTCTCTTTTGTCCCTGGATAATTAGATGGGCCCCTCGTGTCAAGCAGCAGAGGTTTCCTGATGATGCTTGCCAATCCAGGCTAGAAAGACATTGAGTTCTCCCAGGGACTTAACGGCAGCAGACGGGACCTCCAGCTGAAAACAAGGAAACCATCATGAAGGTGACATTTATAGACTGTGCCAAAATGTGCAAGTCACTTTCCCCACTTTCTGGTCCTCATGGGTTTTCTTTTTATTTGCCCAATGCATTTGCATGGCATACACATCCAAAATCGTTTCCCTAATAGGCAACCAAAATTTTGTTTCCACCATTTATTGGTTAATTTCATGTCAACTCCTTACACACGAAGTAAGAARTACTCCATTCTTCCCCCCTTGTCCCCTTGTCCCATTTCTCATAGGAAAAATTCCCTTTACTGTTTAGGTCTTGTGTTTATTTTCTTTTCGTATCAGCTTGCTTTGGTATTTTTGTTCTTCCAGGAGGCCTTGATCCACTCTGTGATCGCTGGTGGGTAGGGAGAACATGTTGTCCCCATTTGATACAGCAAAGCCCTGAAGCCCGTATGGGTGAGTGCCTTGCCCCATGTCATTTGGACAGTGAGCAAGAATCAAACTAAAATACAGCTTCCATTATTCCTCCTCCTCACAGACCAGGAGGCGGCAAGATCTAATGGCAGATCCATTGGAGTCATCCAAGGTGGGACCAAATCCCACCACCACCACTTTGCTGCAGGGCGACCTTCGTTGAGTTACTTAACCTGTTTGTGCCTTGATTATCTAATTTATCCACGGTACATAATACTCGTAGCATTTCTGTGAGGATCCATGGGCCAACACTTATAGTGGGCTTAGGACGATACCTTGCTTGTGTTAACAGCCACTTGACTCAGCTCTTTCTAAAAATCTGTCTATCCAGTGGTTCCTGTCCCCAAAGTAGCAGAGCTCTTAATGGACCCTAATCTCCTTGTTCTCCAAAGCATCGACGTCATTTGGGAGTGTGGTCAGAAGGCAGAAATCCAGGCCTCCCTGCAGACCCACACAACCAGAATCTGCCCTTCAGTAAGATCATCCAGTGATGCATCAAGAAGCCCCACCTCTTCATGGACACCTGCATGAGAAGTGCCGGGTGTTTCTTGCACACAGAACACCACGGCAGGGGTGACCACCAGGTCACCATGCAGGTAGCACATGTCATGCCTAGCAGTGCAGGACCCACTGCCCACCTTTGCTCCCTCTGCATCACCCCATCKTACACAGCGTGTGCTTTCTTCAAATCAGGACACGGGTCAGTCCTGCTATGTAAGGGTTCCAAGAAAATGGTAGAGAGATGGTGGAAAWGGGAACTAGCCAATTAGCCCTCCCCTCCATCCTCCCACATCTTACCTGATCATAGTTGTCATGGATGATTTTGGTGGCATTGATGGCTTCCTGACTACATCGACATTGTCTCTGCACCTGCTGTGATACAATGAGGCACCTATCAGWGAACCTTTCCATCCTGACCAGCTATTACACCACCTCCCCACATGAGAAGTGACATTCTCCCTCTCTCCCACAGAGAAAGTCAGTGGGAGGTGAATGAATTATTATATAATCCCCTGGAGCAACCAGAGGACAATAGGGCTTGTTTGTGGACTTAGCCTGCATTTGACCATGGCTTTTGCTTTTTCTGGATTTACAGCCCACAGACAGCACCAACAAAGCTCCTGTATCTACCCTGTCACCACTCTCTGAGTACAGCAATCCTACACTTGTTATAGGTTGATTAATTAAGTAGCTGTTTAAATGTATCCATTTGATTTCATTATTKCAGGACAGGACCCGATCATGTCCCCCTTCTAACGATTTGAGAACCTAAGGCAGGGAAAGGCAAAGCCATCTGCCATATCACACAAGAAATCATCAGCAGGGAAGGGACAGAACCCAGGTTTTCTCCAGGTCTAAGTTTTCATTGGTTAGTTTTGGTTTTGATTTTAATAGATCCCAATAAACTTACAGGTGACCCTTAGACCTCGTCTATACCAAGAAGCTGTTCAGYGGTCACCTGGTACGGAAACCCCAAAGGGTCAAAAACAAAAAGACTAAGGGGTGCACTTGTAGTAAAACTAGAATCTTGGCCCGGCTTTCTCACAAACCACATAAGAAATATTTGCACGTAAGTTGGTCACCCCAGGAGGATTGCCCATGAGGACACTGTCAGATGAGGTGTCAGGAAGCAGGAAACACTAGAAAGGAGTGACCACTGGAAGAGGTTCCTGATTCTCTGCATGGACCACGGGGCAGGGAATTTCCCGTGGTTCCACAAGCCCAACCAGAAGCCAGCTGGAGCCAGCTTGTCCCAGCCCMTCCCTGGGCAGACCAGGAGCAGATGCCTGGAGTCCTGAGGTGCTACTCACACATTGCTGCAGAGTTTTCTGCATGTAGAGGAAGGAGTTGGCAATGCTGCTGATTTTTCTCAAGATTTGGGGGTCYGACTCCTGATGATCCTTGAATACCCTGTCCACGTAGAATGCCAGGAGGTTCTTGGTCACACAGCACACATCTAAAGGCTACAGACACAAATCAGAGATGCTCTAATTTGGTTATCTTAGAGACCAAAGCAGTCCATTTGAGTAGGGGCAACGAGAAGCAAGAGAAGTAAAACATCATTTTTTAAAATCCATCCATTCTACCATAGCAAAGTCACTTAGGAGGAAACTGGTGAGGAGAGAAGAGATTCTAGCTTACTCCCTTTTTCTGTACAGCACGAGTAATATTARCAAAAGATGGGGCCCAGAATCCAATCTTAGACTAGAATTCTTTCYACAGCATCCCCAACATATCCTCACCAAGTTCTGTTTAAATTCTTCCAGAAATAAGGTGCCTCCCTTTTCAAAGAACTGAAGGCAGAGCAGCTTTCTTGACGAGTACTTCCTTGTATCACAGAGGCTCAGCCACATTTCCCTTCCTTCAATATTCGTGGATACTCTGTGTTCATCCTCACCACCCTGCTCTGGACCACACTGCTGAACTCTTCCAGTTTGTCTTTTTAAGCCACAGGGATCACTGGGATGGGGCTGAGATTTGCAAGAATGGAGATTGATCGCTGTGGATATGGGTACCTCAGGGTAGGTCTGTGGCCTGCAGAATGCAGATCTGTCTTAGAAAGGGCTCCTAAATCAGCAGACACAGTCCGGAGAAGCTGGCAGGACCGTGTCTCCTGGTAGCAATTTGCTTTCTGCCCTGCCAGCGAATTACTCTGCAGATTTACAGCTCAGTCTAAGTAGGGTGTGGTCCCCCAGAGGGACAGCACAGCACATCTATCTCCAGTAGCATTAAAGCAGTAAAAGCCTCCTTGGCCCCGAGGGCAGCTTTTCCTAGATTGCAGTAAAGCCTACTGTTACACAAAGCCTTTCYTTCCTCCACTCTTACTGGTCCCTTAACCAGATGCGCAAAAATTACACACCTCTGTATTCTCAAATATTGTGGCATTAGAAAAGAGCACAGAAAAAAAAAAAAGAGAGGAAGGGGAAAAATAAGAGGTACATTAAAGATTTAATGACTTTCCTTATTCCACATCAAACATTTCCAGCCTTCAGAGGAGAAAGAACCTAGAGATGGAGGCATAAACTTGGGGTCCGTTACTGACATAGCCACTAACTTGTCATTCTCCCTTTCGAGGTCTCGATTTCCCTGGAAAACACTGGATCTTTCTAGAATGCATTCAAGGTCTGAAAGAGTTCGCTATAAAGGCATCTCTCAGGTTCTTTCCATGAACYGGGTGATCCACAGCTGGGTTGATGGCAGGACTAATTTTGCTGTCCCCAGTTGCCACCAGAAAGCACATTTACCAGACTGTCTTTGTAATACACTGTGTGACAAGATAGTTTTTGTCTCCAAAACCTTCTGTAACTATTGCCTCTCTTATAAAGCCTCTCTTGGCATCTTATAAAGCCAAGGACATTATGCCATGACTCCAAGGTAGTGATTCACCTCACCCCATGTGCATGTCCTTGCATCACAAACCCGGTCACCTCACTTTCCTAAGCACACGTGTCCACCTTCATTGATCTTCCATCTGCCCTCCCACATTCCCCAAATACCTCCTTCTCTTTTACCCACTCATCTACAAATTCCTCAGCTTTTAAACCACCATGTTTATGTTTTCATGTCCCTCCATGGAAGCTTCCAAAATCATCCCCAAGTCATGGAAATCCTATCCCCTCTGTGCGCCTGGCACTCCCATTTCTCTCTAGGAAATTGGTACCAGGGGTTTCAAGGTCTCTGGGACARTAGCATACCTCACCCATTGGTTGACACTTGAGAAGCCTGCCATGTGGAGAGTGCACTGGACATTAGGAACAAGAAGGGGACAGGTGGGGATTTCTTTCTCAGCCCAGAGTCATTTTACTGTAATGATAACACTATAGTAAAAAGAAGACTCAGATCCAATACCTTAGTGTTCTGCAGGGCCCCCAAGGTGGACAGGATGGTGACATTTTGGAAGTTGTCCTTAGTTTGCTATGGAGAGAAACAGAAGGACAGACACAAGCATTAAGTACTCCATGGTATCCTGAGATGCAAAAGACTGCAAGAAAGAACTTGCCTTCTGAGCTAAGAATGTCAGGTGAGACACGCCCCTTGCCCACACCGTCACCAACCCATACTCACAATGGCTCTTTTGATTTCTTGGAAACTCTCTTCTAGATGGCGCATGTCCACGGAAACTGGACATCTCCTGAGAGAGCGGGTGTACACTGAGCACAGAATGAGCATTGCACTCAGGAGCCAGAGGGAAACACGTTGTACCTTCATGTCCTGCAGAAAGGGGTAGAAGTCAAGCTGCCCAGTCCGAGTCTCTTCCTTGGGTTTCTTGAATCAATTGAATAAGAGCCCTCCCCTCCCCCACCCCAAGTTCCCACCCTCACCCCCCAGAAAGCTCAATATGGTCTTCTTCAGTCCTCTCTCAAGTCCTGGGGAGCACATTTGTGTGTCTATCACACCACTATGACTCAACACAGTTTACTTCCTCAACAGGGGTGAAAACAAATTATTTTTTAAAAAATGTCCTAAGAAAAACAGGGTTAGCACTATGCCATGCAGTTAGGCAACAGATCTGAAGAACCATAAAAGCACATTTGGTTTATGTTTGCCCTCGGAAGACAGCAACACCCTTTTGTTATAACACTCCAGTGTGTATCTGCTTAAAATCATTCCCATGATGGGAAAGGGAGGCAGGAGCTTCTCCTGGTAATTGCTTGGCCATGGTGAAGCTGCCACTCTCTCCCCAGAGGACAAGCTCCTCTTCTATCAATCACTGAGCTGGGAYGCAAGGGACATGTTAGATAGTGACACTTGTTGCCTTTTCTAATTCTCTCACCCAGATTCTTTCCTTCATCTTTCTGCTTCTTTCTTTAATTGTTTTAAATTAATTAGATCATATCATGCACACAGAGAACCTCGAAGCAAACATCCGTGGTAGAGTTTATTATCCATCTTGGACTTTCCCCCACAGTAGCACAAGCTTCACAGAAGGAGCTTAATGTGACTAGACCAGCACCCTACCCAGCATCCCCCCTGGTGCCACAGAGTGGTGCTGGCTGTGAGCTAGGTCGGTGTATTTTGTGTAGCCCTGGAAGAGAGGAAGGARGGTTGCAAACGTAGCCAGCCAGCTGAGGGAGTGACAGGGGACCCCTTCTCACCCCTGACTATCCTATGTTCACTGAAACAGTAAAAATCCCCCCGGGAGGTGAACCATAACTGTCCTCACTCCTGCCACCACTGCCCACGTCTTCCTAGGATTCCCAGGCTCCTTCTCTTGAGGGTTATTTTTTAGAATTTAGATCTATTTTTAATTTTTTTGCAATACTGCAGATTCAACCCAGGACCTCATGCATAATAGACAAGCAATCTACCACTGAATCACGCCCTCAGCCTGCCCCCACCCCAGACTCCTTCTCCAGAAAGTCAAGAAAACAGCAAATCCTCGTCTYTCCTTGATGCCTTCCCAGAGCATGGGCAGGTGTAAACTGAGACCTCACCACGAGGCACGCAGAAAGCTAAAGRGCTTGATTTCTCTTTTTGGAACATCTTTCTTTCTGGAAAAACAAGGCAGGAAGTCTGTGAAGAGTCCCCCAGAGCTCTGACCCCTCTCCAGGCAATTCTAGATATCTTGGCCCTTTCAGGTAAGTGGTGACATTTATCCTACACACCACATGTGCTGGGTACTGTGCCAAGCTTTTTTTTTTTTGGTACCGGAGAGTAAACTCAGGGGCACTTGACCACTGAGCCACATTCCCGGCCCTATTTTGTATCTTATTTAGAGACAGGGTCTCACTGAGTTGCTTAGTGCCTCGCCATTGTTGAGTCTGGCTTTGAACTCCTTTGATTCTCCTGTCTCAGCCTCCTGAACTGCTGGGATTACAGGCGTGTGCCACCACACCCGGCAGTGCCAAGAATTTTACATAATTGCTTCATGCTCACAATCATCCTTCGAGAATTCTGTTTCTAACCCATTTTACCAAGAAAGAAACTGATACTTAGGGAAGCTGAGTAACCTGCTAAGACCAGAACTTGGAAGGTGGCAGGCCAACCCCGAACCCCCCTTCCTTGTCCCTGTGCCTTGACACTTAAAACACTCCCTCTGGCATCTCAGCCGCGGATCCCAACCGTTCCCCTTGCACCAGACAGGAACCCATTTCTGAACCAGGAGAACACCTTCCATTTTTAAAGATATTTAAGGCCTGGGGTAGCTTTATGTCAGAACATCTTCCTAGTTTGTGTGGATCCCTAGATTCCATCCCTAGCACTGCATAATAATAATAATAATAATAACCCAATAAGAAGATACTTAATACTGTAAAGGATTTTTAAAAGATACATTGTAAATTACCCTGCACAGTTCTTGGAATGAAAAAGCAATAGTAGGCCAGGCATCTGGTGCAGTTTTGGAGGCTGAGGCAGGAGGATCTAGAGTTCAAAGCCAGCCTGCATGAAAGAGAGACACTAAGCAACTCAGTGAGACTCTGTCTCTAAATAAAATACAAAATAAGCCTGGGGTTGTGGAGTGTGCTGAGTTCAATCCCTGGTACCCCTGCACACACACACACACACACACACACACACAAAAAAAAAAAAAAGCAATAGTAAAGATATGAGTTTCCTTCCATCCCCTTCCTTTTATTTCTTCTCTTCTTTCTTTTCTTCCTTCCCTTCCTTCTTTCTCCATATTTTCTCATTAAAAAGACGATAAATCAGAAATTTCACCTCCCCACACACCATGGAATACTTCTTCCCTTTCTACAAAATACCAGCACCTAAGACAGCACAGGCCATACACAGTGAAAGCAGATCTCCCCACAGTCCTGAAGGACAGAAGCCGGGATCAGGAGGAGCAAAGCCCTTGATGAAGCGGGCACCAGTCTCACCTTCACCTCGTGCCTACCAGCTGCTCCGGAGTCTCTCTCCTGGTGCTCTTTGCCATTTGGAAAGGGCTGGTCACTTTTATGCAGGTGGATAAGAGGAAGTGCTGTCAAAGTTTATTGGGTGGGTCCACTTTGGGCAGATTTTTTCCCCCTTCATTTCTTTAGCATGTAATTTCCTTAATTATTTTTTTCCTTTGTGATATAGCTGATTAATCATTATTAAGAAATGCCTCTTTCCCTGGGTCTTGACATGCAGCTTCTGGGAAAAATAAACTCACCATCACCATGCAAATGAGAATTTCTTTGCAATTCTGTGTCTATTCAGAAAAAAATCCAAGTTAGGTYACTTTCCTAAGAGCTGTGGCATGCCACCAACTGTACCCTGAAGGCAAACTCAAGAAAGTAGTCTTGGGTTGGCCTCATCTTGCCAGCAGCCAACTTCATGAGACTTTGCAGGTGCCTCCGCCTCTAGCACAAACCATCTCCCTGGTGCCTCATCCAGCCAGAGGGGACCTACCACACACCAGGCATGAGCTAAGTGCTTTACACCTATTATTTTGTTGAACTTCGTGGGGAATAATTTTTCCCTCCTACAGCAAAGGTTTCTTGTGCATTATCTCTTTCCCCTTCTTCTAGCCCCTTAGAAGGTCCTTTCATTCTTGACCAATGCAGAAAAAGAAAATGAGACTGGGAGTTAGTTGGAGTTTAAGAGCAGTGACAGAGCTGGAAACAGAATCTGGAATCCTTGCTTTGGGCTAGAAAACCCTTTGTTTAAATTACCCTTTTATGCCAACTCTCCAAGGATAGGAAGCTCTCTGAGGACCAGGGTTTCCAGAGATGCAAAGATAGGATATAAACAGTTCCTTCCCCAGACACGAATTTCCAGAATACATGAAGCATATGCATACCCACTGAAGGTACAATTAGAGATCCCCACAGGGTTAATACAGGTCTTGCTCCTGCAACCAGACTAGGGAGACAGCACTGGCAGAGAAGGAAAAGGGTCAGGGAGGATCAGGGATTTTTTATGGCATAGGTACAAGAGGAAGGAAGCCCAGAGCCTGGAAGTCCTGTTGTCCAGCACCTTGGACCTAATGCAATAATAGTAAGTGTTGGGAGAAGCAGTAGAATCTAGTGGTTCACAATGGTAAGTACTCCTTAACAAATATGAATTATTCCCATGCTGTGCAATGGGGAAAAGAGAGATAGGTCCCCTCCCTTAGAAGTTGATGGGCATCCCTCTGCTCCTTCTGAAGAGAGGGTGAAGAGCAGTTCTGCACGTTAGGGATCTCCTGCACTACACCCCTCTTTCCCTGGGATGAGGTAGGTAAGGAGGTGGGTGCCATTTTCCCAGCACAGCCTGGGCTGCCTGGCTCAGAGCCGGACCCCACATGTGACAGGATTGCAACATCACCCACTCCAAGTCTCACCACACAGACTGCATGTTCTGACCCAGCTTTCATTTCAAGGCCAAGATGTCATATCGAGAAGCTTGCATGGAAATGGGAAAATATGTGATGTGTTTATAACTTCACATCCACCACGCCATGTGTCAGGAGGCCAAGACCAAAAGCTGAGCTGACACCCTAGTCCCTATGACTGTCGCCTGCAGGCATCTCATTCAGCCTCTGTGCCTGTTGACTCACCTGTAAAATTGTGCAAATGGTGCCTAATGAATACTCAGCACGTAGAGATGGCATGGAGATTACAGATGAGCCCTCAACATAATGCCCAGCACAAAAAGAAGCAAATCAAAAATGAGAGCCTTTGCCATTAATTTTATAGCCTCCTTTGAACCCTAAATTGAGAGGAGGGGGAACAATAAGATGATTTATCTCCATCTTAAGCCTTGTTGCCTAACACTTAATATACAAAAATAAAAATATAGATGGAATGGCATCCCAACCAGGATTATCTTCAATCTGAAGATACGGTCCATAGACACAGTGTCTTGCTCAGCCTTAGTATTAGGACTTCTGGAACCACCATTAGGATGCCAGAGTTCAATTTTCCATTTGTTAAATAAGGAAGCAGAAAGAATATGAAGGAAGACTAGAAAAACAGCATAAAGAATACTCTGTGCAGCCCCCTCATACTTTCCAATCCTCTGTCCCCCCAATATTTATTCTAAATTCATGAACTGTTCCCTCAGTGCCAGGGCAACCTCCTGTCCATGAAGGAGTGCCTGCCCACTCTCAGGTACAAATCCTGGAGCTCAGATAAAAATTACACAAATTCGAGAGCTAGGGTTGTGGCTCAGTGGTAAAGTGTTTGCTTAGCACATGTGAGATGCTGGGTTCAATCCTCAGCACCACATAAAAATATATAAATAAAATAAAAATATTGTGTCCCTCTGCCTTTAAAAAAATTTTTTGCACAAATTCAGAAGTG